GCCTCAACATGAGAAGTTAATAACAAGGAGCAGGAGATGGGGGGGAACAACAGGATTGAGCCTGTTTTATGTAGACACAGAAGCACCAAAACATGAGGACCTTTAGGATATCACCTGTTTCTGCCTTTCTGGTGCCAGTAGCTTTGTTAAAGCTATATAAAGCTAAATTTCACACTTRGTGATTTTAAATTATTTTGAAAGGAGCAAATTCATGTGGTATTACAAGATCTTCAATTTTTCTGCTGCCTGTATAAATCTGCTCTCAGTACYGCTGAGATGTACACGCAGCCACAGCAGAAAGGTAGGAAGCCTTTCACTCCTTTGGCAAGAAGTYAACTAAAGACAGAGTCTTGACGTAATTATGAAATATATCTCAATGCTGCCATTTGTGATAAAATCCAACCAGATGCAATTAGTTTCTAAATCTAAGTGTGCTCTGAATGGTGTTGCCAAATGTACAGAGAAATGTAGCATATATTGGAGACAATTAATTTTATTTGTGTATGTGTTCGGCTTTCCTCAGTCACAGGGAAATAACCCCCATCCCTTAGACTGGATTTGCTGCAGTGGTTCCCTGTGAGAGTCCCTCACTTTTCAAGAAGAGCAGAGCAAAAAGGATGTGCCTGCCCTCGTCCAGGGCCTGCACACAGTGTCTCACTAACACTGCTACCTAACTGCCCTGGGGAACAGCAGTGGGCAAAGAAAAGAGTCCAGTGACCATCACAGTGACACATCACCACCTGCAGCCACCAGCTCAGGGCAGGCAAGCTCCTCACCRCCCCTATTTGTAAAGGGCTGCTACATCGGGGTTGGGGGTGGGAAGAGAACTTACCTCTCTGTGGGTTTCTTATTGTTGGGAATAGAGGAGAAACTGCAATTTGGAGAAAGTGTCCAGATTTCGTTAGGTTAAAGTTGCTAAAATGTATTATTCAGGAGACCCAAATCYGGCCTTAATATTATGGGAACACACTACCCCTTCTTGTAGAGGGTAAAGCCATCTAAATTTGCACTCTCTTGTTGACACTGCTTTCTCTTGATACTTAAGACAAAAAATAAAAAACCTTCTAATTTACCTCACAGGCTTTGTGGGACTCTGTATGAAGCTGGGGGCTGTTCCTTGTTCCCCAGTGAACATAGCACAAACTATTATTCTCCATTTCTTTACATATAAACTAATAAATACATTTTTGGGATACAACAATTCAGTTACTATTAAATTTAGCAAAATGAAGTATTTCTGGCTTTCCCTGCTCATCCTCTATTCTGTGGCCTTAACAGAGAGAGATTTTGGATGCAATCTGAAATTTTGACTGTATTTCTTGCCTGCTTTTCATGTCCATTGGTAAAAGCATGTATCTCATGTATTTCACCAGTATCCCAGGGCYACTTTGCCCTCTTCCCTACAGTTTACCCCAGCAAATAGATATGGCTTTAGCCTGAAATAGATTTTATTTTCTAGTAGGGTTACAATCAGCAATAAAAACCCACACATCTAGGTATTTTTATACTAAGTTACAGTTAGAAACATAAGTATAATCCTTTCAGCTCAGTAATATGAATTTACAGAAATCTTTGGATTGTTTTATCTTCTCCCCACTGTAACATCAAATTGGCTGGTGAAATGATACTGGCAGTATAAGTCATTACAGGTCTGACGTTACAGTTGTTACACATTGCTGAATCTGTCAAATGAAAAGGGAGCACAAAGGGAATTTCCAAATGCAGCTGCTATTTCCCATTTGTTAAATCCTTTTATTACACCATATAAGTACACAGCTGGGAAATACTATAGAGTGGGAGTTAAAACAAAATATTTTGGCTTCCAGACATTCAGAATACACAAAGGACTCAGTGGAAAGCAATGCCTGATATCAAAAGGGAGTGAAAGTTTGAAAACATTTCTAGCCAGTGTGGTTTTTTTTTCTGATAATGCACAATGCAGTTTAAAGGTATCCTTACATTACAGAAAGTGCTGCATACCATAAGTGTTGGGTAAAAACGCAATTATTTCTTCACTAAAATTGCCCTCCTACGGTATCTTTTCTAAATTTAAAATCTGTACAGCCCTCGTAGCAAATTCTGGTGCATACTGTGTGCTCTCTCAAATTCCAGTGAACACTTTAGKAGTTTTAAGGGCAAAAAAGATGCAGGATTGTGCCCTTAATTAGATACCAGATAAAAGAGAAAATCTTTCCTCCCCATATGTCAGCACAGCATTCTTTGAATTTACTATCTCTTAACCAGACAACACACATTATTGATGCATTTTAATGACAGCACTACTGTCTTTACTTTCACTGTAAATGCTATGAACAGGTGCTTCTTCAAATCTGCTTCTAAAGGATCCGTCTGGGAAAGGTCWGAAAGTGCTTACCCTCTGGGAATTTGGGTTTATTAAGTGAAAAAGTGGCCACTGCCACAGCACCTATCTCAGAATTGCCCAACCCACCTTCTGGAATTTGTCTTTCTGGAAGGAAACATCTATCCTCCCTCTATGGAGTACAAATATGTTTTCATCAGGATAGTTGCAGGCACCTCTGAATTCTTTCTTAGCAATGTCAACGCCTGCTTAGAGATTGAGGTACTACAGATAAACTTTTTGCAATTAATTGAGGCTTAAATGTTTGTTCATGAAGTATTTAAGAGAGAAAAAAGTACTATTAAAAATCAAACAAAGTACCTAAATTACAGTCCCTCAAGAAGAAAGAGATTTTTTTTCTCCACTGTTGTGATCTCACTAGCCACCTAGTCACCTAACTGTAAATACACTTGGATCTTGCTTTTTACATTTCAGATCCCTTTAAAATGCAACCAAAACACATGTCTTAGAATTTCAGTCTTCASTGGTAGCCAAGCCTTGTAAATTATACCCAGCTTCAAGCTGGGTAAAAAAAAAAAAAAAATCTATTTGGTTTAGCTGAGAGTTCCCAAAATAAGGCTGACACATATATCCACCACCAGATTTAAGCCAAGGGACTTGTGGAAACTGCTAATGATTTTCAGGACATTCATCTACATATATCATGAAATATTTACTGGAAAAAGGAGATAGGAAAACCAGAGTGTTAAGTCCCTCAAGCAAAGTTTATGCACCTGTTCTGAAACATGATAAGCTGTGCACTGATTCGTGCCTGTCCAGAGGTACAGCGAGTGTTGACATGACAGTGCAGCATTAGGAAAGGAAACAAGAGATTGCTCTCTGTCACTGGGACTGCAAAGCCCTTCAGAGCAATAGGAGCACAACTGATCCTGCTGCACAAGGGCCTAGCATTTTGGCTCGCTGCAGGGCCAAGGAACAGCCTGAACAAAAAAAAAAAAAAAAAAGCGTTGAGAGACTGCTAGAAGCTAGGAGTTTTTTTCTCTCTAGGACACGGAGTGATTTTGTCAATGATGTTGACAAAATGCATTGGTGTCCTAACATCAAAATTCCAAGAGTGCACCTGACTCTCTGAATGAATGGAGAAGTAGCTGATGAATTCACAGATTAACTTTTTCCCATCAACAAACCAGATCAGTCCTTTCTAGCCTGCATGCAGCTTGTCCTGATAACACAGCAGTTGAAATTGTTCTAATGTGTTCATTGCATAACTTGGGCAAAAGAGTGACTCACTGTCCAAAATTCTGCATACAAGCCACATACACAACTTGCAACCTACCTTGCCAAACTACYAACCTATAATCATTTTTCTTTAAAGCAATTTACAGTTGAAATTTTGCCTTAATGACAATCATCCAAACATCCAGGAATATTTTAGTTCTTACAGAAAGTTCTGCACCAGGTTAAATTGGGCATTACAGATTAGGTAGCATTTTTCTGGTTTGGTTTAATCTTTTGAATTGATTGGATTCTAGGAAAAAAATTTCAACATTATATTAACAAAATAAATCTTAGTGTAGTGTTATTATTTAACTAACTCCAGGCATCATAATATAGACAAAACCTCTCGTATCTCTGTTGATTAATGTGCTAAAATTGTTATATCTAGTCAGATTTGAAATGAGTTAATTATTGCTACTTGTGTTAGAACAATTCTGAAATTGTGCTTAACCTTATTGAAAGCTGCTGATCTGTACTGGAAAAAAAAAAACAAGGTTTGTTGAAAAAAAATCTGCTCATAGACATTTATTAGAAATAGAGAAAAAATTATGAAAAGGCAGATTATTCTTTTTAAGCTAATTGTCTGATTTTAATTTTTTCAAAGTCACGTTACAGAGAGTCTGGAATTATGATGTTCTGAAYTTACAGAACACCTGGCTGCTCCACACACCTTAATTCTGTTTCTGAGGAGCACATGCAAGGAAGATAAATTGACTGAGATGCTATGCCCACTCAGCCTTCATTCAGCCTGCCCATTTATTGCAGAGATTAGGGGATGCAGAGACAGAGCTACAACCACTAGGTACAGAAGAGAATAGGGATAATAATTCTGATCATTTCTAACATTGCCTGTATACAAAGTGGTGATCTAGCTACTCATAAACACCTTTTCCCTCCACAAAAAGTTAAAATTTCCTATAAACACTGCAGGATGTTTGTGTCACCTAAAAAGCCAGCTTCTTTGTTGCCATGTAAAGATATAATATCCTAGATTTGGTGGAACCTGGTTTTGAGAGACAAGCAAAAAAATACATTAAAGTTTCTTCCCTCAGCACAACACTTTGCAGATGACAGTTGTGAGCTACATCCTCCTGTCAGAAATTAATGCTTGAATATATGAGCTAGAAAGGTTAAGACATAAATCAAGGTATGAAGGAAAACATGATAAATAGATGCATTTCCTTGCAGAAGGTGAACACATCAAATGACCTCATTCAAACAGACCTGTATACTTAAGCAGATTATTCAATTGTAATTTACAATTACACCGTATGATGTTGATCCATTGCCAACACTTTAACATTTAAAAAGCTTTACCCCCTAACATGCCTTTCAAAGATGGAGTGAACGTTCTGTTGCGACACCAAATTTGGAAAGACGCTGCCAGAAGTGCAGCACTCACCATTCTGTGCTGGGCTGAGATGACTCCATCCCACTCAGGATCCTGCTGGATGGTGGTGACCAGGGTGGGGAGCTCCTCGGAGTGAGGTTTGTTGTGCATTACGTTGTGTAGAGGCAGATGAGAGGCCGCGTGCTGATCGCTGTTGCCCTCTTCCTTGTCTCGTGGTGCTAAGTCCTGGGTCATTGTTTCCTCCCCATCAGCTGCACATGCAAATGGAGAGGTAGTCTGCTTGGAAGACATTCTTCTACGAGACAAGAAAAGGAGACAAAAAGAAAACATTGATGCTCAGTGAATAACAAAAAATCAAGCTCAAAACAATCCTCTAAGCTCATCACACCTGCCTAGAAGAGTTGAAAACTAATCACGTGCTGTCAACAGAAGTATGCTAAAAAGCAGAGGTTTGGAGACCTGRACCCAAAACACTGAGGAAAAGTATTCCTTGATACCAAGATAAGACCAGAGTTAAGTTACATGACATCATTCTACTTATATAGACTTGTCAAACAATATCATTTTCTCCAGCCATAAGAAAATAGTGATTTTATTGGTATTTTTATGTGGGTTTTGTGTAAGAGTTCAATTCTTTAAGCTCTTACTCCAATGAGCAATCTGAAGCTTATAAGCAAGCGTTTAAAGGAGAGAGCTCATCATGCCTACCTGACCTCATTCCCTGCAAGCAAAAKATGTTTTCTACACATATGAGAATAATTTTTAAATTCATTTAAAATTCTGCAAAATAAGCCTTTTTGCTGTTTGTTTAAAGCTGTACTGCTTTCAAACTGTTTAAAATTTTGCCCGGTTTTACCTTTCAGAAAGTGTTTTGAGGAGCTCATGTGAAAAGTATCTTCTAAACCTGAAAGCTTTATTGAATGGATGTATGGATAATACCTCAATAACATTTTACAGTTCAAACTATAAACCTGAAATAATTATGTTTCCTTTCATAGGAACTACATGAAGTACAGGATATAGCTCAACAAAATACTTTAAATTACTTAAAAGTGTAATGAGTAAATGCATTGATTTATGTTAAATGCCTTTTCTTAATAATGGCCTCTTACTACTGTCTCATATGCAAACACAGCTTTCACCACAGTTTCTGCACTTAGATGAAAATATTACTGACTTCAACTAAAAATCTGAAAACACTGTCATTTAAAATTTCTAGTATGATTAACTGCAACTGTTAAAACAATCATTAATAAACTTGAAAGGGGACAGCTAAAATATATTAGCTATTTTCCCAGGTTTTAGTAACTTTAGAATATCCTTGACACTGAAATTGCTGGGAAACTAAGGGATAAGATCTTCACCTTAATTGCTTTTTAACAATAATTGATTTCATACCATTTCTTTAAAAATGCACAAATCAGTTAACATAGGAAACCACATGAGCATTTTTCAAATTAGCAAATCATTAACTTGCTAGTACTGTTTCTACAGACAAATAAATACTGATTAAAGGGTCTGGAAATCTGAGACTAACAGTTAAATTTACAAATCTGTCACATGCTTTCATGAATATTACAGTGAAGGAAATATCAAGTGCAAAGAAAAATAATTAAGTTAATTCCAATTTAAACAGTAGTTTTTATGTAGCAGCCAGTGTTTCACATAGGATTTAACAGCTAATGCTAAATTTCTCACAATTAATGAGGGAGTTCAGATTTAGTATCCTACAGTGAAAAAAAAMTTAATATAGGATCAACTAATCTAATTATGTACAGTTCAATATGAAAGTATTACAAGCTTTGAAGTGCTTTGAAACATATTAAAACACTGATACCTATTTAGAATAACTATTCTGTAAATAGAGATAATCCTGCCTCTTAAACTCGATACTGGTGGGGGAAGAAAGGTTTGTGTTTTCTTTAGGGAAACCTAAATGTAAGTGGGAGTCTTACATGAGTGTTGCCAATAAGCAGAACTGAGGAATTTAAACAGTGCATTACATTCTTCCTATGCTAAAGAATTTGTGTTGATGCTGCAGAGAGCATGCCAAGAGTTCAGCAACCGGCATTATCGTGTGTACTTCAAAAGGTTCTGCCTCATAATTGCTGCGATCCAAGATAAAATAAAAGGGTTGCTTTCCCTTTTCTCATTAAAATAGTCACGTTAATGCAATCACTCACATGAAAATATAAGCCATGCTTTATGTAATTTGAAAACCCGACACGAAAACTGAAAGTCACAATAAAGGTTTTTCCTTTCTTTCACCTTCTGAACAGATCTCRTTCCTGTCTCACACTGAACGAGCTTCTGTGCAAAGCAATAGCTATKGCTGTTTCTTCACCATAAATTAATCATGACACAAAACTAGAAATGAAAATGTCTCTTAAGAATAATTTCAACTACAAACTGCACCAATGAATAATACTGCACAATCCTAATTAAACACAACTCTGCAGCTGCAAAAATAGGCTGAATCTGTCCAAAGCTACGAGTTGGCTTTAAAGGCTGGTTTGTTAGGGACTGTTTTCTTAAGGAAGGCTGGGCCCTCAGTCTTAATCAGCCAATAAATTATTTCCTGCAATTACATTAAATAGAAAATTATCTTCAAATTGGGAATGTTAATTGAAAATCAAAATTCAGACTGAAGTTTAGAAATTACATGCTGAATATAATTAGTCTAGAAAGGCTTCACCTCTATTTTATAAACAGGCTTTTGGTGTTTCCTCAAGTGACCATTCAGCAAAGCTATCTACTGGTAATACACTGTAGGGGAAGCATTTTTTCTTTGACATGTACACTAATACATTTTCCTCTTATTCATGGTGTTTCAAACCCGATTCAATAAAAATCTACATTGAAGTTCTGTTAATTACAAGGGGAAAAGGGACTTTGTTAGCACTAAAAATTAAACTGTATCAACAAAGTCCCATTGACTAATAATCTCAAACCATGCCCAGCAACTTTTTTTCTGCGCTGGAGTAAGAGAACAGAGCAAGGGTAGGGTTCAAATGTTTCCTAGCTCCACCCACACTTTTCCCCCACTGCTGCATTATGGACAGACACCTCTCATGCTGCCCTTTGGTCAGTCACCTATAGCCTTGGAGCCTGGAAGGGAACACAGGCTCAAGCAGACCTCCCAAGCACTTGCTGTCTCCTCGTGGCATCATTTTTAGGGGTGTGTGTCACATCTGTTTCCTTGAAAGCTTTATTAAAAGAACTCTATTTAATGGTAAYTTTTGGGGTTTTGGTTGTCAGATTTAGACCTTTGGGTTTACAGGGACAGAGCCATGAGGGACAGCTGGATTAAGCTCTCCACCTCCTTTTCCCAGCACAAGCATTGCTTCAATTAACACATTTCATTTTTGCATGGCTGCTGAGGGTGTCCAGTCATGCCTGGGTTTGCAATCAGCAAAGAAGAGCAAATTTAAACTCTGCAGATGGGTGTTATCCAGCAGTTTGGGGGAATTCTGAACACATGATCCCATCAGGTCAAAAGGCAGAGTTCAGTCAATAACTCCAAGGCCTCATTCAGTTCCAGAGGAGAAGACTCTGGCCCAGCTGAGTAGTTTATGTTTATGATAAAATTAAACCATAGAACGGCGTGTTGTGTTAAAATATTTCAACATTAAAACATGAGCGTGAATAGCAGTCAAATTTTAAGCCATAACAACTTCCCAATTTTATGTTTAAAATATTCAAAATGCATTTGCTAAAATCCCTGCTGAGAGGGAAAAAAATCAATATTCATAATAAATGAGGCTTGTAAAAGGTATCAGAATTTTACTAATTTCCATTATAATTTTTTTTCTGCTATTATCAATTAAACTCACTGGAAAGATTTTTAAAAAAAAAAAAAAGTTTCTGATAAAAAATATCTCCCTAGTTATAACCCCTGCAAACAGGGGTTTATAATGGAAGTGCTGACACAACCCTAACTACAGCAGCGCAAATGGTGCCGCTATAATACACAAAATCAAGTTCTATTATTCTAAACTATCCTCGCTCGGGGGGTTTTCTTTACTGTGCTCCCAGACAAACTGCTGAAGCATGAAAAATTTAAATGCAATCAAGTGGGTCCAATTCTACTTTACTAGAACAAGTGTCTACAGTGGTACAATCTTAAAAGAAGATGCAACAGATTTGTTTGGTGCTTTTCTTTCTTTTTTCTTTTTTAGCTGTTTATTTATAATACTCTGCAGTGGAGATAAAATAAGAGAGGAAATTACACTCACATTATATCAGTATATTGATTACACAGCACACAATCAGAAAGAAAACTACATTGTGAAATTGTTGCTTTGGTTAAATTGACAGATTAGCTGAACACAGCAATCACTAAAGGTGGAAAAATATATCTAATGGGTATGAGAAAAGGTTGAAAAAGACCCTAATTAACTGAAGTCCTATCACCTACTCAAGTTTGAGAATTTAAAAAATCTTGATTMGTATTTTCCAACACTAGAATTCTATCTCATTTTGAACTCAAGACATAAACAGAATGTGATCATTTATCAAAAGGTCAGTAAAGCTGAGGGACTGGACCCCAACTTCAGTCAGCCTCAACACTGAGGCAGTAATGTTAAAATTGAACTGCTAAGGGGTTTTTTACCTACAAAAAGCAAAACACAGTCCCAAACAGCTCCATTTGCCATGGACATGACATGATTTTTTATTTTAAACCTGAGAAGGAATTCTCTCTGCTCTGAAGAAGACTGCCAGTCAAGTTCACAAAACATTGGTTCTCTTTTCCAATAGCCAGTATGTGTCATACCTTTCTAAATACAAAGAGTAATAATTTTTTTGTCTAAAGTTTTTCTACAGTCTCAAATTCTTAAACAAAATCATATCCTGTTTTTCAAAAAAAATAGCTGATAGTCCTGACGTGAAAGGGTTCCAAAGCCTGAAAAATCTTCCWTGCCTATTGACTGCTCAGTTGATTAAATGTTACAGCAGAAATTAAGGCGAGACCCAGAGTTTTAGCTGCCAGACATTTCAGAATCAAGCCACGAAGTACAACAACAGATCACAACAATGCAATGGCCCAGACACTGTTTCAAAATCATATAAACTGAGCAATAACAACGAGATTCATGACAAAGCAGACTTGTATTTGGCCGGGGACTCTTGCTTCTGCTCTGCTCCACCCTCACAAGGCATTCATAAACCTAAAGGCATGTCTACACTGCAGCCACATAAATGACTGCTCAGTAATGCTCAGATATCCAAACTAATTTTAAACAAGCTTGCTTCTGATAGCTCTCCAACTACAGTAGCGTGGTGTTCAGATGGACT